AGGGGGAGATCAAGTGGCAACTGCAATCCAACAAATGACTAATATTCTGTCCCGTTTAGTGGAACAACAGGATCAAACCCCTGTAAATCAACCTAAGGACCCTGATAATGGGTAAGATAGGGCCTTAGAGAGATTTCAGAAGTTCTCTCTACCCAAGTTCCTAGGAGGATCAGACCCGGAGGGCGCCGAGAAATGGCTAGAAGCCATGATCAACATCTTTGCTGCGTTAAACTATGCAGAGGATAGGCAAGTGCAATTTACCGTTTTTCAGTTCGAAGGTCCAACCAGGGCTTAGTGGAATGTAATTAGGGCCAAATGGGAGAGAGAGGGAACTAAATGGACCTGGTTAAACTTTGTACGGGAGTTTAATGAGAAATACCTTTCACCTATCGTCCAGGAGAAGAAAGAGGACGATTTTATTAAGTTTCGACAAGGACTTTTAAGTGTATCTGAGTATGAAACCCAGTTTACGAAGTTGTCTAAATTTGCTCTTGAATTGATAGCCACGGAGCAAAGAAGGATAAGGAGATTGTGCAAGGGCTCAATGTGGAGATACAAGAGGCCTTGGCAGCGGCCCAAATTAATACGTTTACGGAAGTTTTGGAGAAAGCCCAAAGAATAGAAATTGTTAGGGCACAAGTGATAGCTTTTCATGCGAAAAGGAGAGGTGTGCCTGGTGGAAGTCAAAGGCAAGGACAAGGTGATCTAGATATGCCACCCTCTAAGATGGGTCGAGAAGATGGTGGTGAAAAAATTCCAGGGACATCTATGGAAATTACTCCAAGAGGAGCCTCGCGTGGCAGGGAGCAAGCAAGAGGTGCCTCACAAAGAGGTCAGACCTCAGCCCCTCAAGTATCTTGTGGGTACTGTGGGAAGGCTAATCATACGGAGAATGATTGTTGGCGAAAAACAGGAAAATGTTTGTGGTATGGTAATACCGAGCACCAGCTTGCAACTTATCCCCGTAGATCACACCTAAACCCTGAACAAGCAAATGTATGAGGGACTAAGCCCAGACTGCCAGCTAGAGTGTACGCCTTGGACCAACAGGCATTACCTGAACCATTGGAGATAATAGAAGGTACGATTCGTGATTTCTATTGTTTAACTAAATTTTGGCTATAGTGCGACCTGAGAGCTAGAAAGAGATATACAAGGAAAATACCCTACGTTATTTCGGAGTGCATGTATGAATTTCGAGGACGAAATTCTTTGAAGGAGGGGAGATTGTGATACCCCAACTTTTAGGATCATCTTTTGTTTAGTCTCAAAGAGGATATTACGGTTTCTTTAATTTATTTTATTTTAAAATATTATTTTGTTTTAAAGAAAAAACTAAAGTTATTTCTTTGAGTTTGATTTAAAACTTTGTTTTATTTTAAAAGACTAGAAACCCTAAAAGTCTAATCAAAACCCTAACTTCACTTGTGACTGACCGTTTTCTCAAATTTCTCATATTTCAATCGAAACCCTAAATTCAATTTATGGAATTGTAAAACCCTCACGTTTTTCTTAAAAATACCCTTTTATTTGGAAACTATTAAGTTATAATAGCTCTACTATTCAATCACCCCACAATAAGTGCAAATGAACCTAAAAAGTAGGGTTTCACTTTTCGATTTCAAATTAGAGCGAATTAGGTTTTCACGTTTTTCCATAGTGCAACTATTCGGTACGGAATGAGGAGCAAATTTGGTAGGTAAGAGTGACTTTTGGATGAGGAAATATTATATGATTAGAAGTGATAAAAATAAGTTAGTGATTAGAAGGTAAAAACCCTAGTACGCGCGATTTAAGAAAAATCGGGTTGAACCGACGGGTACCGTTTGTTACCGATTGAACCCACCACTTGACCACCACTTCCCAACCACCACATACCCTAGATATTTTTGCAAAATATCTCTCTCATCCTCAGCCTTATAACCGAAATATGTGGCCCAAACTGCAAGAAAAAGAAAGCAAAATTTGGATGGTTTTGGTGGTGACAAGTGTTGTAAACCTATGGTTTCTTGACCAAGCTAATTTTCTTTGCTTCTTATCTTCACATTGGCTCCATTTCTTCACCATTTTCCCCTGGTCTGGCCGAGCTTAAGAGAGAGAGAGAGAGAGAGCAAGAGAAACAACTTCAATCCATCTTGAGTTTAAACCTTTTGAGTGCAACCAAGAAAAACTAAACCGATTAATCACTAGTTTGGAAGCTTGGGAAGCTTAAGGAACCAAAAATTTCAAGAGGAGGTGAAGGATCATCCTTGCAAGATTGTGTCTTACGGTATAATGGCTGATCAATCATTTTTTTCCATTAATCATGATTAAGTTGGATATTAATGTTAGTATTGTGCTTGTGGTGCTTGTTTCAAGTGATTTTGATGATTGGATGGATGACTTTTGAGTTAGGGTTTCTTGTGGGTTAGGTGTTGTATGATGTATATATATGGTATATGATCTTGTAAAGGTGAAAGTAGTGGTAGTTTAAGGTAAAAAATGAGAAGTATAGCTTGAATACAGCAAAATTCCAGATTTCTGGAAATTGTAGCTTTAGTTCTGCCCGATTCCATTTCATCATGTTAGAGGCCGAATCAGGTTTAGTATAAAACATAAAAGTTATAGAGAATGATATTTTATGGTTGCCTACAAAATTTCAGCTCAATCGAAGCAACGTAGCCTGTGAAAAGATGACAATACCCTGACTGCCATCGGAGTAAAGCCAGTGGACAGTTTTGGCAGTACACTAAGTTGGTTGCTTTTGTTGACTTTCATACGTACTGAACTAGCCTTTAACCCAAACATAAAAGTTTTAGTACGTTGTCTTAGATTTTCAACGCCTCCAAGAACATCTTAAACGGACTTTGGTAGCTTGAGATATGGCCATTTGAAGGTAGTACGGTTAATTAGCCGATTAGTTGGAATTTAGTTCTGTGAATTGGCAATTTGACTAGGTTACACTAGAATTTGGACTAAGTAGTTTTCATCAAAATTGTAGCCCTGTATCTTAGCTTCGAAACGGCATAAATTGCATCCCAATCCAATAAGCGTAGCTTCGGTTGTATCCGTTACGCAAAAATATGTCAAATCTGTCTTTTGTTAAGCCTCATTTCCGCACATGTCGTTAGCTTGATTTTGTACTTGTATTACCTTGAGCCTATTGAACGGCTATTGAAATGAAATTGTTTTGTGTGTAACTTTGGGTTTGATTGAGGAAAAGAATGAAGCCATAAATGGCTGGAAAATAGGAAAATACAAAGGGCGTACTGCCCAAATTTACGTTCAAGGGCTAGGTAGACATACTTGCAACTTGAGTAAGGGTTAAGAGTGATTACTGCTTGAACTATCTAGGATATTTGTGTCTTTTTATCTAGGTATATTAGTGAGGATTTGGCCAAACTTGTACCTTTGAGAAATACAATCATGACTACTAGAAATACGTTTTCCTTGTACTTTCAACTCAAATGGCATTTCCAAGTATAAATGTTATAAAGTTATATAGTTTGAAAAGCGAGCGAGTGTTTCACAAATATTCTCCAAGTGAATTTCCATTTCTTGATTCTTATTGAACGAAACGTCTAAGTTTCGAACCTTAGTCGATTTTCAAAGTTCTTAAACTGAGTTTTATCGCAGATTTGAACTCCAAACCCGGAGTACAACCTGAAAGTGACCAGTAAAGGCACTATATCTTTTGGTGAGTGCTTTCAAATACCAAATTGAACTTGATACTTGTATTTGATAAGTGACCAATATGATTACATGTTATTTACGTGAATTGTTAGGGCAAGAGTGTACTTTATCGCACTTGTCCTCATGTGATATATACTTGTTTATTGTTGCAATTGATTTGATATACTTGTTTATGATGTGCACACCTCCTAGAATTTCAGAAACCCTATGGCGAGTTACTCAAGTCGAGTTGGCAAGGGCTTGGTCGATTGGGTAACAAACCCTGGGTCTCTTGTTTTGTCGAGTGGAGTGATATCTTCTCGACTAATCGGTATACTCGAGTATTACCACCCGTGTTTATTGAAGATTTTGGGCCCAGTAGGGAGTGTGAATGGTGAACGGAGAGTAGTGTAAGTAGTGTTCTACTGGATTGGTTTCTTTACTTGAAAGTTGACGGAGTGTCAACTATTACGTGATCAAGCTCCTGGTGATGCAATTGAAATTTGGCTCTGGAGAGTCCTCCGTATCCTTATACTTTGGAATGATTTTTGTTTATTGAATTATTGTTTCTTCTGAAAACCTTTATACTCGCTCACTTTGAGATTTGTTACTTGAAAAATTATTGTTCACTCTTATGAACTTTTGATGCCATTAACTTGCTGTGTTGATATTCGTACCTTTAAAATGGTCAATTTGTTATTTGGAACCTCACTGGATTTTTAGCTCATTCCACGCCATTTGTTTTCCTTACAGGGGCTACGAGCGAGGCATGAGACATGTACAGACTAGCGTAGTCTAATTGTTTTGAATTTTGCTTTTGTACTCATGCTAGTACCCTACTAGGGTTGATTGTACTCGAAATGTAAACACTTCAAAGTTTTTTTTGGTGTGTAGAACTTTGTATCTGGATTTGAGCATCATTGTATATATTAAGTTGAAGTGGATGTGTTATTCATTTTCTATGGATGTATGTTATGTTGCTTGAGCTATGAGTGAGTGAGTGAGTGAGTCCTGGCGAGAGTTGGGCAGGCGGTCCGCCGAACCCTTTGGTTCGCCTTAGGGGAAGGTGGGGCTGTCACAGGGATCCTGAGAATCCTTTCCGCATCAGTCTTGTTGAACAATTTGAAGACTACATTTGTGTTCCATCTGGTTTGGTTGATTAGCTGTTGGACTAATACAATTTCACAATTTAGAGGTCTTGGAGTCGTAGGATAGCCTGATGGAGAATCTGGAATCCATTTATGCTCCCATATCTTTGTGCCTCTACCATTTCCAATTCTCTTCCTTACTCCTTCTTCCACTGTCCCTCTGACTTCCATTATTCCTTTCCAAAACCATGACGCATTACCCTAAGCTTTACAAGTGAAGATTGACTCCTTGGGGAAGTACTTGGCTTTCAAAACTTTACTAACTCGGAGATTGGGTTTGGTGATTACTCTCCAAACCTGTTTTCCTAGTAGAGCTTTGTTGAAAGTTTCGAGATCCTTAAATCCCAAACCACCTTCCTGTCGATCCTCAGCCATCCTCTTCCAAGATATCCAGTGCATCTTGTTTTTGCCATTCGTTTCACCCCACCAATAGTTAGCCATAGCTGAGTTGATATCCTTGAGGAGTTTCCTAGGCAATTTGAAACAAGACATAACATAGGTTGGCATGGCCATCGTAATTGCTTTGAGCATGACTTAGCAATTTATTCTTCCAACTTTCTAGTCTTCGCTTGATATTATCTCTTATGTATCCAAAAAGTTGCTCATTTGTTCTTGATATAACCATAGGAAGGCCCAGATATTTCCCTTGCTTCACTTCTGCCATTCCTCCTAGAGCACTACAAATCTCTTGTTTCTGGCTACTTGTCAAATTTTTGCTGAAGAACACTGATGATTTCTCTAGATTGATTAACTAACCTGAAGCCTGCTCATACTCTTGAAGAATCTTCATGATTTCCTTCACTTGTTGCACATCAGCTCTAAAACATATGAGCGAATCATCTGCAAAAAAGAGGTGAGTAATACTTGGACCTTGTCTACTGATCTTCATGCCTTTCAGATTCTTGCTTTCTGCTGATCTTTGGGTAGATTTGAGAAGCCTTCTGAGCAAATCAAAAACAGGTAAGGCGAGAGAGGGTCTCCCTGCCTTATTCCTCTTCTTGGCTTCACAAATCCTTTGACTTCCCCATTGCAGTTAAAAAAGTATGAGATAATTTCTTAGCATTGTGATATCCAATTTACCCATTTAGCACAGAAGCCCATTCTTGTCATCATGTCACAAACAAAGTGCCACTCAACTCTATCATAAGTTTTAGCCATATCTAACTTAATGGCCATATACCCTTCTTTCCCATGCCTTTTGTTTTTCAAATATTGCATATATTGCTGAACAATGATCACATTATCTAGGATTTGTCTATCGGTATGAATGCAGATTGATTTTTACAAATGCACTTGTCAAGAACAGGTTTCAGTCTGTTTGCCAAATTTTTTAGATGATTTTATACAAGACACTACACAGACTGATTGGTCTACAGTTTTTCAAGGTGATTGGATTCAGAATTTTTGGAATGAGAGAGATAACTGTGTGGTTAATGGATTTAAGCATGCATCCGGTCACGAAGAAGTCTTGGATGGCTGAACCACATCCTTTTTAATCACTTTCCAGAATTTTTGGAAGAACGGTGGAGTTATTCCATCCATTCCAATGGCTTTATCTGGATTCATGGAAAAAACAGCAGATCTGATTTCCCCCTCATGCGCTGGTTTTGTCAAATTAGAGTTCATTGCATCGGTAATAGAGTGTAGGATACCCCTTAGTACCTCTGAGTTATCATTCTTCCCGCCACTAGTAAACAGTCTCCTATAGAACATGGAAATCTCAGAAATTAGATCTTCATCATTTTTTGTCCATGACCCATCCCCTCTTTGAACATTACAAATTTTGTTCTTGTTTCTCCTCCCTCTCACATAGGCATGAAAAAAACTAGTGTTCTTGTCTCCCTCTCTTAGCCAGCTCACTCTAGCTTTTTGACTCCAAAAAGATTCCTCCTATTTATATGCCTCTTTGAGCTGATCCTTAAGGTCAGACCTAATCATTCTTTTGTTTGCCACATTTGACAAGTTCACGCTCTCTAGCCTACCCTTAAGGTCATTGATTCTCACTTTAGAGTTTGCCTGGAAGGTGTTTTTCCATTTCAAGAGTTCAATTCTGCAATTCCTCACTTTCCTGGTCACTTGAAACATCCTAGTCCCATGTTCCTCCTTGTTCCAACCCTTCTCAATAACTTGTTGTATACCTTCCTTTTGAATCCATCTTTTATCAAAGTAAAAATGTTTTCTCTTTTTCCTTTTTTCTGGTTCCGTATCCAGTAAGAGCAGGCTGTGATCAGAGGCAAAGGATTCTATGTATTGACATTGTGTTCCTTCAAACTTTTGTATCCAATCACAACTGCTCGGACATCTGTCCAATCTTTGTCTAACCTCTCCTTCATTGTCCCAATGGTTACTCCAAGTCCAAGGGTATCCCTCAAAGCCTATGTCAACCAGTCTATTCTTAGAAATGAAATCCTTAAACACCTTAAAGCTCCTTTCCTCTGTCATTAAACCCCCCCCCCATTTCTCTTCATTTGACACAATGTCATTGAAGTCCCCTGCAATCACAAATTTCTCCTGATTTGACTATCACAGGTCGCATACACACCAACAAACCACCATTCATCCTGAATATCCCTTCCTCCTATCTTAGCTTCTATGGCAACGTTTTTGTTATACATGTTAATTTTGTGTGATTTCATGTTTAGCACATGTATTTAAGTTAGTTTATTAATTTTGAATTGCAGGTTCGACAAATGGAAGCAAAGACGACCATTTAAGGCGGAAGAGGTGAAATTTGATCAAGAAATTCAACCCCTTGATTTACGTTAAAGGTGTTACTGATCCGCTAAAAAGAGGTAAAATGCATTTTTTGATCATTTTACATGTGTGTGCAATGATAATTTTGGCAAAAGAATGATTTAGAATACATTTTGAGTCTTTGGGGGCAAAAGTCACATTTTAGTGATTATGAATTTCTGCAGAAGAAATGCAGAAATATAGAATACGCGACTCAAAACACAACATCAAGTCGTATTTTCTCTCCTACATCGCAATAACACAATACGCGATTATCAAAAAAATGCGATTTCAAGTCGCGTATTCTGTGATGGCGCATTTGATTCTACACAGTCAATGAAGAAAATGCGACTATCAGAAAAAATGACTTTAGCTCGCGTATTCAGTAGTTGCGTATTCAGTTCCGCACTTACACTGAAGAAAATGCAACCATAAAAAATGCGACTTCAGGTCGTGTATTATCCCTTTTCTGTTTAAAACTAGAATACACAAAGTTTATTTCTCTAATTCTTTTCTTCATCTTCCTCGCATTTTCTCTCCACCAAAATATACACAATTGACACACTTTCATTTGTACTCCATACTTTTGCTAAAAATCATCAATGCAACACTTTTTAATCATCATATAGCTTTTCTAACTGATTGAAATCCAAGAAAAACAACTAAAAATCGATTTTTAAGAAATTTGGGGTTAAGGTTCTTGGTTCTCAATTTCTTCAATTAAAGGTCAATTGGGGTATTTCTCATAGGAATTTTTTTTTTTTTGCATATTCTTCATCACCAAATATCCTTTTACGTGATTGAGATAAATTTCTTCATCAATTTTTTGAATTTTAGAAGATGATATTTTTCATTTTCCTGAATTTTTGACATATTCTAATTTGAAAATTTTGATGAATATTATGGATGTTTACGACTTTTAATATGCTTGTTGATGTTATTCAAGTATGATTACATGTTCTACTATAGCAATTGGATGTCTATATAGTTGTTAAATTTTTTAGTTGCTATATTTGGGATAAAATTAGAAAATTAGTTTAGAATGTTATTAAGCCATTTTTTATGGAAGATTATGGCTACCAATTGTTGGTTGATGATGTTTTAGCATGTACATTGTGTATAGAGAGTAATTTTGATGAATTTTGTGATTTTTTGGATAATTTTTATTTAATCATGTTTATGGCTTAATGTGTATTACTGTTGCTAATTAATGATTGCTATAAAATTGATTATCGCTAATTTCATTAATTGGGACATATTTGTTGCTTGTTTTAATAAATTGGTGATTTTGATAATTTTTAGTAAATTTTGGCACTTTTTATGTCATATCTCGCATGTCATAATAGTGGTTGTTTATGCATATTTGATTAATTTCTTATGACATTGAGATATGTACTTGTGATTATTTTGAGCCAATTTTGGCCTTTATACATGCATGATAACTCTACAAAATATCTATAGTTACTATACAAAGAAGTTCTTGGTTTAGGCATTCTATTTGAATTATATATTATCAAATGTGTGAAATATGTTCTAGTACATGTCGATAATCGAATTTCATTTTCTTAGGTATATGGCAATGGGAAAGCAACAAATTGTCTATTATTCCTCTAATAGTGAAGAGATGGAAATAAGCGAAAAAATTGAGGAAAGTGAAGGAGAGGAACGATTTCCATCGCCTCAACCTATACCACGACGTCAATAAGGGAGAACATCATAACAAGCTGAGCCGGTGGTGTACGATAGCGCCAGATTTTCAATGCTATAGAACCAAGAGTGGTGTGAAACACATGCTAACTTGGGGTTCTTATTTGAAAAGCATGTGAGCTCAGAGATTGAACTAGTGTATCATATTTCTGAGGCATTCAACCAACTTGGTTGGTCGTTGATTCTGAACCTGGCAATATACTATTACCCTGAGGTAGTGCACGAGTTCTACGCCAACATCGTCAATAAGACATGCCACAATGAAGAGTTAGTCGAGTTATGGATGCGTGGGAAGCACATTTATTTAACAACGGAGTGTTTGGCTACTATTTTGGGTTGTAGCAACCAGGGTTGGGCTCTTGATCTGAAGAAGGGATTTGTCACACCCAACAGGTGGTAGGATCCGTTGCACGCTATGAATAGGTTTAGTTTTGAGTATCAACCTTTTCTGTCTTCACAAAAGGAGACAATGGTGGTAAATGTTTTTGACACTCGTTACTGTTTCATTATTTATATGATGGCGCATAATATAATTTCGAAAAAGACGGATCACAGCGAGGTCCAGAAGAGTGACATCTATTTCTTTGATTACATCTTCCACAACCGGGAATTCTTGTATGCCCGATTCCTCTGCCGAACATCATCATCAGTCATATATGCTCAACAGCGAGAAGACACACGATGTCTTTCAAATTAGCATTTCCTTGCTTACTTTTCTTGGTGTTTGAGAGGATGGAAGTAAATTTGGTTGGAGCTACTGAGTTATCTTTAACTTCACTTCAAAACATGGGCATCAATGTCGCAACCATCCCTCAGCCAATTCGGGAACGACAATTCAAGGTGCGACATAGTAGAGATGAGGCTGGTCCTTCCACCGCTGCTGACAGGTTGTCGAAGCCTGTGCAATAATAAAAATCTCCTCAAACTAAAAGTGATTTCTGTAGATAGCGGTGAGCAGGGTCGAATCCATAGGGACTGGGAGTAATTGTTTCTTTTTAAATTCGCAGTAACAAAGGGGGTGTTTTTGTGCAGAGAGTGACAATCAAATAAATGCAAATAAAATCCAAGGAACT